AATGCTTCCCAGTAGGCCGAAATTCAAAAGGTGAAGTTTCTAGGACACGGGCCTGGATTTTGAGAAGGTTGCAGCTGTTGAACTCCTCAGTTTCCAGCAGTTGTGAAAAGCCAAAAAGCCTCAGGAAAAATGATCTGAAACTAACGATTGGATAATTTTTTTTAATTAATGGAGCAGAGAGTTCCAACAGATGGGAAGAAGGATGTTATTCGAATGAGTGCATACATTTCAATCCTGACACACATACTTTGGGATTGGAGCTAATGGTTCCATTTTGAGAAGCTTTTTGGCTAAATCTGATGAATTTCTGTTATTGTTTCTGTTTTGATTTGGTGCTGCTGGTTTCACATGTTGTGACTTCAGATGCCTCTCTGAGGACCAGACACACTGTCACGATCCTGTGGGCTCTAGTAAAAGTATTTAGGGATTATTTTTAATTGACTAACACGACTCACCAACTTTTGTGCTTAAGTTTAGGGGAAATAAAGGCAGACTTTCAGTGTAGGGATATTTTCAACAGCATACTTACCTACAAACCAAGACTGAAGCCCATCTTGGTTTTGGACTTTTAATTGCTACTTTGGATTGTAACTGTTTTGTCATGCCATGCATTTAAATAATGGAGGTCTGCTTTTCATTCTCCTTGACTGTGAGCAGGGTAAGGCATTTAAGAGGCAATTTACTGCATTTGCCTCTGTGCTGTACTTGCCCAACCCAGCAAAGTATGGCCATTATCTGAGATGATGGAGGCTGGAGTCTAATAAACAGCTGTGTGCCTGTTCCTAAGCAAGAGCACACTGTATTTTGTTTTATGTTTTTTTAGCAATGTTGGGTTAAGCCATATTTAGGCTGCAATCCTTGATACATTTATCTGGAAGTAAACTCTGACACAGTAGGGATTATTTACATATTGAATATTTCACAAGTCATTGTGTATCCTTGTGATTTGAACAGTCCTGTCTGTTGCCTGCTCCACGTTATCTTAAAGTTCTCTTGACTAATATCTTTCAAAACTTTTTGCAGAAATCAATGCTTTTTAGGGATTTTTTCCTCCCCTGCTGCGCTACTATTTTATTACTGCATATATTTAGTTTCAAAACCCTGTTTATTTTTTCCATGCACAAATCATCTTGTTGCATGCACAGTTGTCTTTTTACACCAAGTGCACAAAGGGTGTGTTACGTGTATGTAAACCTCACTGTTTTTGACCAACAGTCTGTGAGTTGTCCAACTGCAAGCCAGAGTGCTCCATCCACAAATCAGTGACATTCTGCAACTGCAAACAGGATTCTGGCCTGTATCTCTTTAATAATTGTTCCTTAGATGTAATTCTTCCCCTTGATTTCAATAGGAGGAAATCTCCAAATTATGGAATTTTTGCATAATTTTTTCACAGCTATACATGGCAAAGTGTCACTGTTTTGATGAATGCAGAATCCATGCCACTGTTAGGTTTGACTAATAGAATGAGAGGTAATTAATGTATCAGATTCTTAGCATTAACATGTGAATGTAACTTAAAATGTGAATATTTCATAGACCTTTAAAACAGCACCTTTAGCACATGCAAATATTGCCTGATATTCTGGTTTGGATTATTACATTCATCTACAACAGTAGTGACCAGACTTTTTTAATTTTATTTCCCAAGGTTATTTATTTCTGTTCTCTTCAACATCTGTTTCCAATCCTGTTGTGCATAGTTAAACTGGAGCTTCTCAGCTTCTTGGGTAAGTGCAGGATCATCTTTTATATTTACTGGATGTTATATAAATACCCAGGGAAAGGATCTGAGATAATAATATGGTCATGGTAGCAAAAGAAGAAAATGACTTTAACAGTATCGTTCTGTATCTGCTAAAGAGGGGGAAACATGGCAAAAGAGCAATGCAGTGGGTTCAGCTGAGAAGTGATATTCACATCCTATTGGGGAAGGACTGGTGTGTGAGTAGTCACCTGGAATTAAATGCAAAGGTGATGCACCTGTGTTTTCATTTCACTCCATAGTTTGTCTTCTTGTTTTGCCTTTGTGGTTTAAAATTGTGATGGTATTACACCATCTTTGTTTTGGCCCGAGTGATTGCACAGCATTAATACCATATAAGTGTGTGAAAAGTGTACCTCTTAACTTTTGTGAGGGACGTGGTGGCACTACGGGCTAAACCGCAGAAGCCTTTGTATGCTGCAGGGTCAGAAGACCAGCAGTCGTAAGATTGAATCCACGCGATGGAGTGAGCTCCCATCGCTCTGTCCCAGCTCCTCGCCAACCTAGCAGTTCGAACACATGTAAATGAGAGTAGATAAATAGGTGCCATCTCGGTGAGAAGGTAAACAGCATTCCAGGTCTAAGTCGCGCTGGCCATGTGACAACGGAAACTGTCTTCAGACAAACGCTGGCTCTACGGCTTGGAAACGGGGATGAGCACTGCCCCCTAGAGTCGAACACGTCTGACTAAATGTCAAGGGGAACCTTTACCTTTACCTTAGCTTTTGTGAGGAAAAGGGAGTCCATTCGTGTGATCACTGTTTTGTCAGGCACGCCAAGTCCTATCCATTTTTTAAAAACTTTTCAATGGTTTGTGGTTAGGACAACTCTAGATATGACCATAGCTTAACTTACTTCTCTGCAGGGGCAGCCCCTTCTCTGAGGTTTCTCTCTTGTTAGAACTGCTGAGCACAGATTTATTTCACCTGTCCTGTCATCTGAACAGCAGCTTTGCCTATTCAGAATGTTGTGCTGAAGGGCCATCTGTCCCTTGGTAAAGATGCTCTAATATGGTACTAATCACTAGCAAATTTCACAGCATGATTATGAGCTATGATGCCTAGAACTTGGCTGAGTTTCAAAAACAAACTTTTGCCTGCAGGCCAGTAAAAAATTATCTCTAGGATCACTGCGATGTGCAGCTATTAGGTCTGTCACATGCCAGTTGAATAAGTAAATACTTTGATTTGCATGTAGTAAAAAAACCCAATGAGTTGGACACAGCTTTTTATTCTGTCAGTGGGACCAGCCTCTAAGCAAAATTCCACTCAACATGCTTCTGCATGTGGAAGAGAAGAGGATGAACTTGGCTGACACCTTCTTTCTGTAGCCATCCATTCCACCTATTGTATTGCTCTGGAGGGTCCTCTAAGTTTTCATGAGAAACTTTCAGAGGAGCAAAAGGAACTTTGGGGGGGAAGCAAGATACAACAAATATTATCTCCCTAGTTCTACCAGTAGAGTTACCCTGCTATAGAAGCCATCCATTCATGAAAGGAGCCTTTCAATCTATGGGAGGCTTTTGTTGAATCCAACCTAGTTCTAAAGGAAAATACTTAGTATGCTGTTAGATGATGTATTTTTTATTCTTTTACAGAATATGACTTTTTCATTTAAAGTGGTTTTTTGTATCTGCAGTTTATGTAAATGCTTATGTGCTGTGTTTTTAAAAAGAATTTTTAAAATATGACTTCATCATTATTGTAGCTTTAATAAAGTCATCCACTAGCTGTTGCAGCATAAACAAAAATGTATGATGCTAATATTATACATACCACACTACACATAAACGGATCTGGTTTTGAATTCCTTTCCCCACCCCTGAATAAATAACTGTTTGCATATTAGTCATGTGAAGGTATTGTATTTTTTTTCTTTTGAAGGATTTTCCCCAATTAGGTAGCAGAAAAGATGTTTGACACTATCAAATCCTGGGCTGAATATATTGTGGAATGGGCTGCAAAGGATCCATATGGATTTCTTACAACAGTGATCCTAGCTCTTACACCCCTCTTCTTAGCCAGTGCAATACTGTCATGGAAACTGGCAAAAATGATTGAAGCCAGGGAGCGAGAGCAGAAGAAGAAGCAGAAGCGCCAGGAAAATATTGCAAGAGCTAAACGAACAAAGAAAGACTAAAATGTCAATTGTACTGGACAGAACTTTTCTAAAGAATGCACTGTTCCTACCTTTATATCTTTTGTGTTATAATCTTTACAGGATATGCATACCTTTGATAATTCCTGAAATACTTTGTTTTTAAAATTTCTGTTATTAATCTCTGTGATCATTACTTTTAATAGTTTTTTTTTGAAACCACTACCTTGAGATTTATTTTCTAATTTGGGATGTATTTGTAAGGAAGATGCTAGCTACAATATGTATACAAAGTGTCTTTGTAAGAAATAAATTATGATTCTGTTGATTAAAGATCTAATTTTATAGCCTGGAGGAGACATGTACTATTCTGTTTTTAAACTGTCTCCTGGACACTTTCAGGTTATTCAATTTCTACTACAAATTATTTCTGTCTTTCAGAGAATCCTTATTTTATAGCAAGAGTCAGCATTCTCATCTTCCTTTGATGAATTAATTTTCATGAATTGTACCACCTGAACTAATACTGTAGTACATGCTGAAGTAGTGTGTGCCTACCCATTTCATTTTTTTGGTGAATGTAAATAGTAGCTTTGCCTGTAAATTATTTTGGATAAATAAGAATGTGAATAAGACCATCTGTGTGGTCCGTGTGGGACCAGTAATTAGGAATAATGGCTTTTGATACTTAAAAAGTATTGCTTATCATGTGAACAAGCAGAATTGTTAGGTCACTTTGTTCACACAAATATTACGTTCAAAGAAAGTGACAGCACTGCTATGAACCTGTAATCTTACATACTTGTGTAATCTTACTCAAAAATGAGGGTAGAATCAAACAGGACTCTTGTTGTCAATTATCCTCCTTAGACAAATATTCATGATATACTTCTATGAAGGATCTAAACCTGGCATGTTTTAATACTTTTGTCTTGTTAAATCTCACCAATTCTATTTTGCAGAAGAATGTTATGTACCATACAAGAATCAAAAATGCACACAGTTATACTTTAAGGGGAACATCTTGTTTGCAAGAGGCATTTAACTACGAAGTTAGATGGAATATAATACTGATAATATGCAGAAAACAATCCTATGCATATTAATTCAATGCAGCAAATAACAAAATGAATAAAACATAAATGTTGAATGAATGATATAAAGCATATGTTGAAGTCCAGAGTTCTGTAGTCTAAACTTGGGGTAGCTGGCTAGGCAAAACGCTGCCCAAAGTTTTGTTCTGTTTTGTTTTGCAGGATTTCACATTTTGGTGGAAGAGAAGTTGTTTTCTGCTCCTGAAAACACCCAGGAGCAGCAGTTGTGCTATATAAAACATCCTCATTGAATCCTACTTTACTGGAAAATTATTGGCCAAAGATTCCATTTATAAGCAAAGTACTGGAGCATATGGTATCTCAGCTTCTAGGATTCCTGGATGAAGTAGATGGTCTAGACCAGTGGTTCCCAACCTTGGGTAACCCAGGTGTTCTTGGACTGCAGCTGGCCATGGGACGAAGACAGCTTTGGTTGCCTTGGTGAATAACCCAGGCTAGGAACTGGATAGCTGGGGTGTGTCCCTGTTAGTTCTGCTGGAACTCTCACTGGTTTTTGATACCATTAACAATGATATCTTGGGCTGTCTCTCAGGGATGGGACTGTAAGCACTGTTTTACAGTGGCTCTAGTCCAGTCCCTTGGGGGAGGACTCAGAAGGTGGTGCTGGGAGACCCCCAACATCCTGGCTTTTGGCCTGTGGTGTCACTTAAAGCAAAGCAAAGCAAAGCGTGCTGCTTATATACCGCCCCATAGCGCTTCAAGCACTCTCTGGGTGGTTTACAAGTTAATTATGCAGGCTACACATTGCCTCCCCAGCAGTGGTGGGATTCAAATAAATTAACAACAGGTTCTATGTCCTAATGATGTATGTATGTATGTATATATGTATGTATGTATGTCCAGGACATTTTTTAAAAAAGGTACCACATAAGCAACAGTCTTATATGGTACCTTTAATTTGAAAAAAATCATAGTACAATGAGGACAGTTGTGTGTTGGACTGAAGCGGTCTCACCCCAAAACGTTTTCCCTCTGTGTCCTGCCCTCATGCCTTGTCAATCCCCCCCCCTCTCTGCCTCGAGGCCATAAGCTCTCCAGTGACGTCAAGGACTCATCCTCCCCCCCTTTCCCCCATTGACGCCTCTGCTCTTTCCAGGGCTTTATCTCTCTCACCCACACCCCACCTCAGACGGCTCAGTGTGGCGCAGGAAGGGAGGCAGCTAATTGCGCCCCCCTCCCCCCGCTCGTCGCTGGTCACCTGGCCCCTCCTCCTTCATTCATCTCAGGCCAGCAAACGGTTCTAAGAACCAATAGTACATTTAGGAATCAGTTCTATAGAATAGGTGCGAACCTGCTGAATCCCACCTCTGCTCCCCAGCAAGCTGGGTACTCATTTTACCGACCTCGGAAGGATAGAAGGCTGAGTCAACCTTGAGCCGGCTACCTGGGATTTGAACCCCAGGTCGTGAGCACAGTTTTGGCTGCAGTACAGCGGTTTAACCACTGCGCCACGAGGCTCTTAAGCTTCTGTTTTGTCACCCACCCCACCCCACCCCATGCTGTTTTAACATTTACATGAAACTGCTCTGAGATGTTGCCTAGAATTTTGGGGTTTGGTGTCACCAGTATGCTGAGGACACCCGGCTGTCCTTTCCATCTAATTCTTGGTTCTAAACCTGATGTCAGTAATGGGCTGGATGTGAGGACAAACAAACTGAAACTTAATCCAGACAAGACAGAGGTTCTCCTGGTCAACTAAAGCAGATCAAGGAACAGGGATGCAACCTATGCTGGATAGGGTAACACTCTCCCTGAAAGCTCAAGTCTAGAGCCTCAGTGTGCTCCTGGATTCATCCCTGAGTATGGATGTCCAGGTTTCAGCAATAGCCATTAGTGCCTTTGCATAGCTTTTGCATCAGCTGTAGTTGTTCCTTGAGATGTCCGGTTTGAATACTGTGAAGTGTTGGATACATCCCACTTAGATTAATGTGGCGCTACCTTTGAAGATGGTTTGAAAACAGGCTGTTTCAAAATGCAGCTGCCAGACAGCTGACTGGGGCCAGTGATAGGGAACATATAATGCCCTCACTGCAACAACTGCAGTGGCTACCAGTCTGTTTCTGGGCATCATTCAAAGGGCTAGTTATTATCTATAAAGCCCTATACCAGGGGTCAGGGAACTTTTTTACCTTTTACCCCCTAAAAAATTTATATACGCCGACATTACCCCCTTGATTTGAAAGGATCTCGGTCACACGTGGTCAGTTGAAAGCTGCCGACTGCGCCGGGGCTGCCCACACCAGGCTGCCTCCTCCTCCTCTGCCACCACCTGGCGGGGCCACGCTCAGTTCTTGGCCCTGTAGGGGAGGCTCCCTTTCTCCGCCAGCAGGTGGCTCCTGGGAGGCTGTTGAAGAGCAGCAGGTGGCTCGGTTGCAGCCGGGCCGGAGAAGGGGGTGGGAAGGGGGCAATTGGGCAACCGGAGACCCCTCCGGGCAGAAGAGGAGGAGGAGGGAAGGGGGTTAGGGTTGCGTCCTCATTACCCCCAAGATTTTCAATTTCACCCCATTTGGGGTAATTTACCCTTATTCCCTGACCACTGCCTTATACGGTTTGGGTCCAGGTTATTTGAAGGATGGTATCTTCTGATTTGAGCCTTCCTGGTCTTTAAGATCTTCAGAGGAGGTCTTCCTATCAGTCTCATTGCCATCACAGGCACATTTCATTGGGGACATGAGAGAGGGCCTTCTCTGTGGCCGTTTCCAGGTGGAATGCTCTTACCTTGAGAGCTTAGGTTAGTCCCATCCTTTTTACCACTGACAGTTTAAGACCCACTTCTTTAGGTAAGTAAGTTTGTCTTTGAAGTTTTGTTGTAAAATTACTCTTATAGTTTAATCGTTCTTTAATGTATGATTTTAAGATGTTTTTAATTTTATTTGTTTTTACACTGAGCCATCTTGAGTCCTCTCATTGGGAGAAAGACAGTCTATACATGAGATAAAATAAAAATGGTGCACCACCCCCATCAAAACTGGAAATAGACTTCAACAGGTTATTACTTAGCTACCTTGGTTTCTGGACTGACGTGGACTGTGATGGATTTTGATAGAAGATTACTGGCCCCTGTTGTTTATCCCCAGAGTAAGAAAAGTTGTATACCCCATGCTAAACCAAGACAAAGCTATGGGAAGAAACTACTACATCTAGGTATATGTCTGGCCCCTGTAGAAGTGTCAAAAGAACAGGCATCCCTTTGGACATACACGATATTTAGGATTAGCAGAGCAGATCTCTCAGCCCCAAGTACAATCAGGACCAAGTCTTTCCTAAGGTGTGGAATATTGTCATCTGTGGAACACCCTGCTGCAAATAGGTGGTGGATCTTTAGTTGGATATATTTACCTACTGGTTAACTAACATTTTTCAAGTTATACTGCTGTTGCGAGGCCCAATATTTCTAATAGTTATTAGAATTGTATTTCTGAATTTTGGTCTTTCCAGCATATGTGATGCTGATTATGAGGACAGCACTGAATGAATATCCTCAGATGATCTCGATACAGTACAATTTGTAAAAGTTAGAACACTACTGAAGTTATGGAAGAATCAGTTTATTCATAGATATAGTAAGTTACATTTGATATTTCTGTATTCAGCTCTGTTTCATAGTACATTAATATATAAATAGTTATGTCTTCTATGATGACCTTTGGTTCCCCAGATAACTTTGGACTTGAACTCCCGTCAGCCGTAATCAGCAAAGTCACTCAAAAGGGATTATGGACAAAGGAAGTTGCCTTCTACATAGTTGTTTGGGTCATCTATCCCATTACTGTAAACTATCACTAGTAGCAGTGCTATAAGGCTTGATGCAGGCGTATTGGCATTGCCTGGTGGTTTCCCATTCCCAGACATGAGCCCAGTTAGCTTCCCAAAGAAGAAGAGTATTCAGGGTGGCAAGATGATGATTTATGGGACTCATCTCCTTACCCCTATAAAGGTAAAGGTTCCCCTTGACATTTCGTCCAGTCATGCCCAACTCTAGGGAGTGGTGCTCATCCCTGTTTCCAAGCTGTAGAGCCAGCGTTTGTCCAAAGACAGTTTCCATGGTCACGTGGCCAGCAAGACTAAACACAGAATGCCATTACCTTCCCGCCGAGGTGGTACCTATTTATCTACTCACATTTTTACATGCTTTCAAACTGCTAGGATGGCAGGAGCTGGGACAAGTGATGGGAGCTCACTCTGTTGCGTGGATTTGATCTTACGACTGCACGTCTTCTCACCCTGCAGCACAGAGGCTTCTGCAGTTTAACCCACAGTGCCCCCACGTCCCTTTCCTTACCCCTATATATATCTCTATATCTTGAAGATCAATGGTTTCACCCATAATCCACACAATAATATCAACATTGAATATTCTTTTAAAAGTGAAACTAATAGAAAACTAATAGTCAAAGTATAGAAGGCAATAATTTAATCAGCTTTTTAAAGAAAAATATCTTGAGAATAAATGCCTTGCCACTGAACAAATCAATTTCACAGTTAATGAACAAATACATATACACTTACACAAGTGTATATATGCATCAGTCACTTAATATATAATAAGAAAACATTAACCTAATTAATCTATTTCTAGATGCTTTTCATCTGTTCCCTTCTTCCTTCCGAGGACTCTCCTTAGAAGGCATCCAGGATCCTGGCTGAAAAGTCTTTGCTGTACTGACCGGGTCTTCCGAAGGCTCATTCTTTCCAAAAGGAAGGGCAGATGCATGGCCTTTAATCTGAGTATGAAGTTGCTCTGCCACTAGTCCATCTTCATATTCTTTGGCTTGTAAGAGTCGGTCTTTTTCATAAATCTCCTGAATCCTCTCTTTAATTTCTTCTTTGTAGTTCTCATTCTTTAGAATTTCCTGCAGAAAATGCAATGATACATTTAAGTAACAGAAGGAAATAGCTGAATGAATGAGGAAAACCAAGCTGTCTGAAAGAGGAGTTGCTTTAAGGCAGAAGTAGAAACTGCTTTTTCACTGTGTTGGATTTGGTGGGCAGATGCAGAATCTTCCATGTTTCCCCCACATACACACACACACTCATGGCAGTACCACTAGCCCCTAGGAAATAGTGCACTGACGTTGAAGGACTTCGCCAAATGGAGTCAGTGACATGTAGTAAGTTCTTTTGCCATATTGGCTACCCCATGGAAGAACCCTCCTTGGCACTCTATGTACCGTATTTTTCGCACCATGAGACACACTTTTCCCGCACAAAACGGGGGTGGAAAGTCTGTGCGTCTTATGGAGCGAAGAAAACAGATTATATTTTCCTGTTTTCTTCTCCTAAAAAATTGGTGCGTCTTATGGAAAAGTGCGTCTTATGGAGCGAAAAATATGGTATATTGCATTTTTGAGAGGGGTGAAGGACAAGAAATCTGCTCCCTGCCAGGCCCCCTTGCATATCCTTAAATCTGTATCCAGCTCACTGAGCTGGATCTGTTGTTATGTGCCGTCAAGTTGGAACTCACACAGTGATCCCAAGAGGGCTTTCAAGGCGAGCAAGCTGTTTAAGGGGTGGTTTTACAGTTCCACGCTCCCAGTGGACTTCTATGTTTGAGCATTCGAACCCAGGCCTAATGAGTTCTAATCCATCACTCTATCCACTACACTGGGTTTGCTTCTAGCTTTGTCTTTAACAAAGTTAAGCATTTAACTGCCATATACTTCAAACAAAATCAAAAATGTTTTTTTTTGTAAGTGGGAATCCTTTTACAGATCTGTACATGAAAATTTACCTACTGTAAACTGTAGTTATTGTGTATTCCCACTCAATAATGATATTAAAATGGGCATGAAAATAACTAAAGAAATTTTAATATATTAGTGGGGTTTTGTGGGTATTGAAGCTAGGAAGTACTACTGAGATCTTGTAATACATCTTGAATACCAGTGCTATGATTTGATTTCCACACCAGAAAAGAAACCAAATTGGCAGCGGTGCTTTTTTGTTATTTCCGTGGAGAAAACAGATGTAAAAGCTTAGAATAAAGCAGTGATAATGGTCCCTTTGGAACAAAGAAGGATTAATTGTTCATGATCTGCTTAATTGACTTGAGCACTGCCCCTCGGCATCATGCGGAGATGAAGGCCAAAAACCAGTAAGAGAGGATCAAAAGTGCAAAAGGTTCTGGTGAAGCATGTGCTGAATGCACTAGAAATGAATAAATGATATAATAAATACGTTTGATTCCCCCCAGTGGGCACAAGTGCCATGAGATGTAGCAGGGTCTACTGTGAAATGTGGTCACACCCCAGCCGCACAGTTTCAAATGGTACCATTTAATATTCTATTTTTTGGGGGGGGGAAGCAAGTATAGTATGTATTTCTGCATTGCTTTGCATCCATGAAGTCTAAATAAACACTGGGATGCTAATGTGTGAAACAGAGGGTACTGACTCTGCTCTAGATGAGATCAGAAAGGTTTTAGGAGTTCACAGAAATGAAATATTAGCAGTACTTTAGCAGTGGAATATTCACAGACATTGTTTAGAATATTTAAGTAAAGATTTTAAACACTAAGATTTGGTTCATTTGTCCAGTGTCTACAAGTAGGGGTGGGAGAAGGGAACAGGTTAAGGCAATATAGAGTTTGTAATCAACTGTATTAGGACTTGAATAGAGGACACTTACAGCCACTGCATCCATTTTTAGTGAACTAGTTGCTGGATATATTGCAACCTACATATGATACCTTTTAAGAGGTTTTGGCTGGGAGGGAGATGCAGTTAATGTCAATAAGCTCAGTAACAGTGACTAGTTCCCCCTCTACCTCAGATTCCCCTCCTTCACCGCCTTTTCCCAATTAGGGTTCCCTTAGTGTTAGCAATGGAGTTTGTCAGAAATAGACAACAGCTAGAGTGAACTGTTCTGTCAGCTATGTAACCATTCCATTACTAAGGAAGCTAGCTAATCAGTTAAGCTTAGTGATTTAACAAATTAACGTTTTTACACAATATCTTTTAATCTATGAAGAACTATAACTAGAGTTTCTGAGTGAATTTACTGAGGCAGTAAGTACCAGTTCATGTAAACTAACAAATAAGGGGTGGTGAACTGAGGGAGACTGTAGTTTAATCTGCTCTGTAGGTTCCTGATTGAACCATTTTATCCACTGCTTAATTAGAGGAAAATTATTTTAATTTTATAAAGCTACACTTAATTCTTTACATTCTGCCCCTAAGACTAGTCATCAAGCTAAGAATCCTTAACAGGATGGAAATCTCACTTGGATAGACCAATGAGAATGAGAAATGTCAAGTTTTTTCCTTCTGGGAATGACTGTGAGAGTGTTATGTACAATTCCCCCCCATGCAGGGTTATTATTATTTTACTTCAAAAAATAATAATAACCCTGCATATTAGGGTTTGCTTGGTTGGTGTTTTTTCAGGGGGGTGGTGCAAAATGAAAGAAAAGCATAGTTTTTTCTCTCTTCTATCTCCTTTTCTGGCAGAGGGCCTAATGCTGTCACCGATTTTTTTTTTAAATTAGTATTTGCTTTTGTGCAAGAACAAAAAAAATTTTTAGGAGTAGTTGATTATACTTTTGACAAGATCTCTCAACATGGTGAGTTACCTTTAATGTTGTAGATGAGAACACGTATGAAAATTTTTTACAGCCTTAGCTCAAAAATCTCCTCTTGCCCAACCGAAAGGTTTCCCTCAAGAAACAATAGATTTCATTTAGCATAGGCTTTTGTGAACTCCAGCCCACCTTATCAGATGGAGAGAAAATTACTTCTCTGGGTTGCCACACTGAGAGAAGCAAAGAAAACAAACGGTCACCAAAAATCGTACCTTCTCGGCTGTGGCTGTACTTTATGGATTGGGCTCTCAGTGGAAGTCTGTTAGTCTTCCTGCCTCTCACCCTTTAAGAGGATGCTAAAGACATTATGGTTTCAGGAAGCATTTAAAGGCATCCTTCCTTAAGCCTCTCTTCATATGTGTTTCCTGGAATCTGCCATCATTTGAGGTTTTATTTTATGTATGTACGTTATTCCCCGGCCAGCCAACAAAACGAATAATGGTTGTTGTGGGTTTTTCGGGCTTCTTGGCCATGTTCTGAAAGTGGTTCTTCCTAACGTTTCGCCAGTCTCTGTGGCTGGCAGAGACTGGCGAAACGTTAGGAAGAACCACTTTCAGAACATGGCCAAGAAGCCCGAAAAACCCACAACAACCATTATTCGTTTTGTTGGCTGGCCGGGGTTATTGTTTAATTTTATCTTTGTAAACTGCTTAGAGTACTGTCTGACACTAAAGCAGTGGTATATAAATTTACAAAATAAATAAATAAATGCTTAACAATAGGAGGTGTTTTTCCTTGATTTCCTACTACTGATTACAATTTATATCCAAACATTTCCAAAGAAGAAAAGAAAAAACAAAGAAGTCTTTATAAAGTGCATCTGTATCAAATAATTTCACAAAGACATATAGCGAGAAAACACACATTGACCATGGATAATCAACTGACTATTTGCCAAATGCAACCTCAAAAGGAAACTAAATTCCCATATCAAAATGAAATTGAGATCGCAGAGTAATGAATCTCCATTATCACAATCTAATAAACCGTACTGTGTCTCTAATGTTAGTTGAAAACAATTCAACTGACTTCAATTAGCTTCCTAATTTTTCTAGCATACAAAGGTCAGGCCCGTAAGGAATACTGATAATAGGCAGGAGAACACACACACACACCCTTTTCTAACATTTGTTCTTGGGGGTGTGGGGATGACATTGGCCAAATAGTTACAGAGGAATAGTGCATACTTGCGGTAAGAAATTCTTGGCTGTTGTTTCAATAATTTTTTTTCTATAAAATTACCCCCTACCAGATCTTGTCCTTTCTCGTTAATCAAAAAAAGTCTTGTTGGTTTGAGGATGGCTTTCCTTGAGGTACCCGTGTGGATCCAAAGAAGGGAAGGGTTGATCAAGTGAGAGTATTGTCAACAAAATATTTCTCCATCTACTGATTTGGATTTGGACCATGGCTTGGATAGCTCAGAGTTTTGGCTTTGTGGCTACTGGGGCATTCCATTCCCCACTGTGCCTTCTAGAAAACAATTCAGCCTGTGGAGGCATAAGCAAACTGCACATTCCCAGAGCAACACCAAAAGAAGAAACTGGTAAATTTCTATGTACACATTTCCCTTCAACAACACTGGGATTTGGGGCACCAGATCACCGTGCAGCTCAAAATCCATGTATAACTCTTATGCCCACAGAAATATAACTATAAAGCATAAACAATAAATTCACACGTACACACACCTCCCCCAATCACATCAGCCTCTCTGCTGCTGCACTGTCAACAACTGGGGCCTTGGTAAGTCCGAGACCCACATCTCTCAGGCCACTTCATGGAGATAAAGCAGCACAGTCTTCATTGAATATGTATTTACTGAAGACGTTTTATTTATTTAAATATTTAATTATAAATCAATGTATAACCAAAACTGTGCTGTTTAGATCTGTGCAACTCAAGGGAGAAACATGGCCAAACAGCCCGAAAAAACTAGAACAACCATCGGATCCCGGCTGTGAAAGCCTTCGAGAATACAAGGGAAAAAACTTTGAAAAGAATCACCATTAAGTCAGAATCAACTTGATAGAACATAAATTAAGCTGGATAGAATTCGGGACCTGGCTGCAGAGCCACAGACTGGATTCACGCTTGTTGAAAAACATCCCTTACAATTGCTTTGTGTTTGGATGAGAAGTTGTTAACTGATGAAAAAAAGGAGTCAACTTCTGGGATTTTCCCCTGCTGGGTGTCACTCTTTAAATGGTAGTGAGCACAAAAGGGCAACCTGTAGAGACCATCTTGACTGCTGCCACTGGTGTTATCAACATTCAG